TGTAAAAAAAGCATTCCTGCTCCTGGCTCCACAAAGTTGCACAAAGAAAAATAAGCGAAATAACTACCTGCAAATCACGATACCATTTACCAAAAGGTAAAATAAAAACTTGTCCACCAAGGCACCATCAAGAAGCACAAAAACTTACAAGTGCACAAGCATGTAAAGTTACAAAAGAAGAAATCCTTAAGCACATAAACCAATATCACCTGCATTGCGAGGCTCAGGAAGCCAAAATACAGTAAAAAAATGTTCCTACCACGGTTCACTGGATACATAATCTTCAACACAATTCTCATCAGATTTTGTCACAAAATTCATAAATTTTCTTTATATATAAAATGTAAGGATGTGACTCCTCTGAAATAAGCCGCTCACCTTAAAGAGTACATAGTAAGCAAGCCCAGTCATTGAGGAGAAAACCGACTGTCAATATCACATGAACATGCGTAACAAATTATGAATGTGTTGGAACATCGATTGTTGATTTTCTCATCAATAATTGAGATTACTCACCTTAACTTTCCTCACTTAAGAGGACTCAACACAATTCTCATCATCTGTGTTTTATATAAAATAAAATGCAAGGATATGTCTCTTCTAAAGTGACACTTAAGAGAAAAAAGCAAGCAACAATCTGAGTCAGCATCACATGCACATGCATAACAAATCATGAATGTGTTAGAATATAAACATCGACTGAATTACTTACTTTAACCTTCCTCACTCGAGAGGAATCAAATCCAAAATGCAATTATAACTCTAATTGGAAGCGACGTAAGACAAGAACACCAACAACTTGTACTATACTTAAGCAAAAGCCATAGTGAGTCAAATGACATGCCTTTGTTTTATTAAATAAAAGAGCAAAAACAGTTCTAGCAAGGAAACAATAGTTGCTATGCCTACCATGTATCCTCAAAGAAACAAACAATTACAACTCAAATGCTGCACGAATCAAACAAAGAACCAAAACAAAACCCATCATCAATTGAGAGCACCAACTCCATTGCGGGCTAGCTTGGTCCACTCAGTATGAAACGCACCGGGGCGATCAACCCTCTCATAAGTATGCGCCCCAAACAAGTCCCTCTGAGCCTGAACAAGGTTTGCCGGGAGCCTCGCCCGGCGATAAGTGTCGAAGTAAGCAAGGCTGGCGCACATCCCGGGAGTACTAATCCCGGCGGAAACAGCCAAGCCAACAACCCTCCTCCAGGCAGCCTGCCTCTGCACCATCTCCCTGGCGAATTCGGGGTCCACTATTAAGCTGGCCAAGTTAGGGTTCCTCTGGTAAGCCTTCTTGATCCTGTCCAAGAACACAGCTCTTATGATGCACCCTCCCTTCCAAATCCTAGCCAACTCCCCCAAATTCAAGTTCCACCCCTTCTCATTGCTCTTTGCCCTCAACAAATTCATCCCCTGGGCATAGCTGCAAATCTTGGAAGCATACAAAGCCTGCCTCACATCATCAATCAAACGCTTCTTATCAACTCCACTCACACTCCTTCCCAACCCTAACCCTAATTCGTCACTCAACCCCGCCTCCCTCAACACTGCGGCAGCACTCTCCCTCTCCTCCTTCAATCCACTCAAGTACCGGCAGTCCAACGACGCCGCGATGGTCGGCGCGGCGATCGACAGCTCCGCCGCCTGCTGCACCGTCCATTTCCCGGTCCCCTTCATACCGGTCTTATCCAAAATCTTATCCACCAAAAACCCTTCCCCATCCTCATCCTTCACTTTGAAAATATCCGCGGTGATTTCAATCAAGAAACTCTCGAGTTCCCCTCTGTTCCACTCGGCGAAGATGTCGCCGATTTCGGAATTGGACAAGCCTCCGACGTGTTTCAGAACGTCGTAGGCTTCGGAGATGAGTTGCATGTCGCCGTATTCGATTCCGTTGTGGACCATCTTGACGAAGTTGCCGGAGCCACCCTCGCCGATGTAGGTGACGCAGGGGCCGTCCTCGACCTGCGCGGCGACCTTGGTGAGGATATCCTGGATGTTGTTGTAAGCCTGGCGGTCGCCGCCGGGCATGAGGGAGGGGCCGTGGCGGGCGCCGTCCTCGCCGCCGGAGACGCCCATGCCGAGGTAGAGGAGGCCTTTGTCGGCGACGTGGGCGATGCGGCGCTCCGTGTTCTCGTACCACTCGTTGCCGCCGTCGATGATGCAGTCGCCGGGCTCGAGGTGGTCGGAGAGGGCGGCGATGGTGTGGTCGACGGGGGCGCCGGCCTTGACGAGGATGATGACGGATCTGGGGCGCTGGAGCGAGAGGACGAAGTCGCGGGGAGTGTACTGGCCCGTCAGAGGGAGGGAGCCCTCGCTGCGGGCCCGATCCACCGTCTCGTCGACCTTGGAGGAGGTGCGGTTGTAGACGGAGATGGGGAAGCCCTTTTCCGCGATGTTTAGGGCTAGGTTCTGGCCCATCACAGCCAGGCCCGCCAGGCCTATGCGCGAGAGAGCTGCTGACTCCATTACTAAGGGTTGGTGTGGTGATTCGAGGCGAGCGAGCGAGGGTGGGTGAGTCTTGTGCTAACTTTGTTTTTATAAATCTATGTTTTGTTGTTGTTTATTACTGCTATTAATTATTCTCCAATTGGAAAATTATTAGTATGTTAGTAGGAGAGGATGGATTAAGATTTAAGAGGCTTTTGGGGTTTGTTTGGACTTCGGGTTGGTGTGGTTGGCGGACTCGTCGAGGGACTGAAAGGACAGTGACTTAACCACCAACAAGGAGTCGATTCCTCCAACGAAACTCATTTCCCCATCCAACGACTGCGTTCGCTTCCTACCTCAGTCAACCTACATTTTTTTTTACCTTTCAGTCACCCTTTTTTTCACTAATAGTATGTTGCCACCTGTCACTTTATATTATTTTATCACGAACCAAAATGATTTTCAAATATAAAATAAAAACAACTTGTTATGGTTTATGTAGATTAAATACACAAAATATGTGATGTTTAGCGTGTAAAACAATCTCTTTCTTTTTATTATGATAAAGTGTAGTTTCATTTATAATTTCATATTTAAGGTAGGGTTAAATTTTGATCTTAGCGAGTATCGAAGCATGTAAAATAATTATATTTTATCATTCTATGAAGAACAATTATTTGTAATAAATTGATAATGTTTATAATAAATATAAAATATTATATTATTAATAGTATATGGTCGATTAATAATGAATTATTAAATTCTTGAAAAGAAAATGTATATATTAAAATTGGATTAAGTGATCATTCCGGTTGATAATCACAATTGATTAACTAATAATCTTTTTAAGACTCTATTTTTTGTGTTGTTGTTCTATGCACTTTGGCTTTGTTGTATGTATTTTATTTAGTTTTTTTACATTTTAATGATAGTTCATCATCAACTTTCATGTTTATTTCTTATGATTACGGTGAATGAAAAAAATCCAAAAGGCTTTTTCCCGTTTAAAGAAAGGAAAAACATTTTCTCATTTTTTTGATATATTAGTTCCTCTTGTTTTGTTTGTTAAAATAGGTAGAGGGTGTCTCTTGCTCTTTTTTTCCTATTGTTTATTGTTTTTTAATGGTGGAGGATTGTGACCAATGAGGTGAAGTTTTTTTTTTTTTTTTTTTTTAATTCCAAAACTATTATAGGTCGTTCTTTTAAAGAATGTGCCCTTTCTTGTCATCAAAGAATTCCTAAAGTGATAAGTTGAAGTCATAGTCATCATCTTGTGTTAATGAGAATAGATGTTTGATTTTATGCACAACGTGAAGATGTGTTATAAATTGATTCCAATTATATAGCATAGTAATGTTCAACACATTATATCTACTACTAGATTACCAAAAAACTTTAAAGACTTTCAATGATCCAAAGCAAACATTTATAATCAAGATAATAACAATCATCGATAAAGAAAATCTAGAACGTCGAATACTTCCATTTATCATACACGGTATAGTGACAAATGGACTACCAACGAATATTGTTATTTAAAAGATAATAATAATAATAATATCTCAAAAGCAATGACACAATAGTTATTATAGGTTAAAGATAAACTTATGCATCGAGATATAAATATTCCAAGATAATAAATCAATACAATCAAAATCTTCAAGCAATGACTTGTCCAAAGAGATGTTTTCGGATCTGCAATAAGGAGCGTGAAACTTCATAAAAATATAGTCATTAGACATGGTTAATCAATTCTTTTCAATCAAACGAGTGAATATCACAACTTCAATTTATCCTATACAATATTCAAAGTCAACAAAATATAATTTGTGAAAAATTAACCGATAATAGATTAGTGTACATTTTATGAAAGGAGCAAAAAAGTGAGTAACAATTAGTGAAAAATATTTTTTTGCCAAACAAATACAAAAACAAAAAAAAAAAGAGAAATATAGATTCATTGATTTTAAGACAAATTAAAGACCATTTGTAATTAGTTATAAATTCAATGCAATGCAATCCAATAGAAGAAAAAAATAATATATTAATAGCAAACCTTAACTCAATAGCAAACCTTAATCCAACATTCCCTTTCACACTCCTTTCATTACCTTAACATAATAATTATTATCAATTCTTAATTTTGTATCCAAGTTAATGTTATAGTGTTATACTATATATATTCTAATACAATATTTTTATACATTGACAAATATATTATTAAAAGAAATAATTATCTCAAAATTTTATTAAGCATTCAATAATATGTTATTTTCATTCTCTACTGTCTTTGCATCTTACTGTGAATCTCTTATGTCTTTCTATCTATTTATTTTTTAAATTCATTTTGTTATAATCTCCCTTCAGTTCGTGTGTTCTTTTATTTCATTTTAATTTTCAAATGAAAATTGGAAGAAGTATTAAAAAAAAATTTAATATACTATTAGAAGTATTAAATAATATAAAAATTAGTTTTTCTTCTTCTAAATACATTGTTACTTATAAAATAATATTGATAATATTGTAGTTGTGTGCTTTTATTAAATGAAAATTTTCAAAATTAAAGTTACTTAAATCATATTTTTATCAATGGTGTTATGAGTTATATTAAATGAATTACATATTATCTATTTAAAAATGACAAAATTACTTTATTATAAAATTTTGACAAATAATAATGTAGCTTAGAAGTTTGAAGAATAGAATTCTAATTGATTTGTTAAATTAAAATAGAGTTCAAATATAAAATGCTGCCAAAACTCCTCAAATTTTTAAACCATTATTTGTCCGTGTGTATGATTTAGTTAAAGTGTTATTTTTTATCGTCAAAGTTTCAATATCTAAAATTAGTATAAAAAACTGAACAACAAAAAAAAGGTACGAATCACAAAATAAAAAATGTTATGTACAATGTATTTACCTCTGGAAGCTTTTTACGAAACACTACATCAAGTCGTGCATCAAGAGTATTTTCACACACAATCTTTCCATCACGAGAAGCCAACACCACCCCACCAGAGCTGGACATCAACAAAAGTAATCAAGTGAGCTACAAGTAAAATTTAAATATCAATGCAGCTAAAAGCTAATACAATTCTATGAATTATCATCACTCAACTACAAATACTAAAAACAAATTAATCTTGACATTTGAAATTCAAATTGTTTCATCAGAAGATAATGTTAAATTGCAATCAATTAATAGAAAAAATGTAATGCACAAAGTAAGAAAGCAAGACCCTAACTAGAAAATCCAAACAATTGGTTAAGATTTAATTAGAACACGAACATTACCAATAGGGATCATGAACATTGTGATGATTAGGTCCTGGTGGAAGATAAACTTGGTTGTCAATAATGATCTCTGGGGGATCAACATTTGCTTTATCTGCATACTCTTGTGCAGCTGAATCTAGCACATGCTCCACCAAGTGTAGGTCATGTTTCCGACATCGCAATAAGACAGAAGGTTCTTTTAATCTTAACAAACTCTGTAAACACAATTCTAGTATGATATTCCAAGTCCACAAACTTATGCGTATAAGATAATCCATAAAATAACAATAGAATATTACATTATAAAGGATTGTAAAAAGTCAACTATATTAAGGAAGGAGGGAATGACAAGAGGATGAGAGCACAGATTGAACCCATGGCATTACACACACCGCCATCGCCATAAAGACCAAGGTTAGTTCTCATGTCAACAAATATTTATGATTCAAAACAATCCATGATATTGATTCATTGATGTCATCAGGTAATATCGATTTGTAATGATATATTAATTATTGATACAATATTGTGCCATCATCACAAATAATACAAAAGTAATACTAAATAAATAAACAACAACAACATTGGTTGCCTTTGTGCAATATTCTTACGAAAAAATGGAAATAACAATTTGATACTGATACTTGGTAGAACAACAAAGTCAAATTATCAAACTATAAGTTGGTGTACCTTGCTCAAAATTTAACCTACCTGGACAATGAGATCTTTTAAAAGGCTCCTGTACTCATGATGATGATGAAGACTAAAATGATGATGATGACTCACATTCAAAAGTTCCTTGGATGCAGCTTCTTTCATGGAACTAATCACATCATCTTGAGCTTGAAGAACTTTAATCCGAGAAGAGTTCAGTTGCATCGAGTACTCACTACAATAAATAATGAATTGTGCCACAAAACTTAAACTATTTCAACTAGCATTGTTTGCAACTCACAAGCATAATGCAATACACTGCATTTCATGTGATGAAATAAAATAAGCCCCATAAACTAAATTCTCAATTCCAATAGTCATTTTATTAAAAGAAACGAGTATTTTCCATTCATCAAACTTTGACTATATCCTTAACTTCAAGTAATTTGAAACATGTCAACATCTTGAAAGAAATTGAACATCAAACCAAACTAATTAAAAATTAATCAAAAATAAATATATAAATGAGACTAAACTAGACCTATATATATATAGTTGTATTTTGCAAATGCAAAAGTTCAAAATCAAGCTAACATGAATTATTGATTTTACTAAATAGTATGAAAAATCGCCAAGGATTTGTTGGACTATTTCATTTGAAATAAAAAATAATCACAATTTCACAATTAATAGACATTGTTATATTATCATACCAAGGATGAAAGGTTATACAAGGAACCAATCTTAAGGATTTAATTTCAACCAGTGTGAACATACGAGAAAACCTTTTGAATTTGGATCTCGGAGAAAAAAATACACACACAAGACAAAAGTATAAAAAATATAGGAAGTTACATTTTCTTTCGAATTTCAACTTGGCGTTTTTTGCGTTCGAATTCTTGTCTAATCTTTTTCTTTTCAGTTTCGACCAACTGCAACTTCTCGATATCGAATTCCTGGGAAAAAAAAAAGTACAATTTTGTTGCAGAGCACCAATTTAGGAGCAAAATAGGAGGAAACATTGAAGGAAATGAGATAAAGTTACCTCTTCGGTAGAGATAAAAATCTCATTAGCTTTGTCCTCCGCTTCCAGACGAATGAACTTCACCATCTGCTGGATTTGGCTTGAGACATCTATGTCGTTCATTTTTGGAGATGAACCACCAAAAAATGTTTCCTCGATGATTGAAGTTGATAGATACTAATGTATCACTCTCACACTACCACACCAAAACCAACTCACATGTCTTTTATGCATCTTCAGGGTAACAATTATTAATTAACATTTTAGTTCATTTGTTCAAATTTTAATTATTTGTAATTTATTTCCTAAATAAAAAAGTATTTCTTTTGTGTGCATTAAATATATGAATTTTCTCATTCTCTTTCGACTTATTTGATGTAACGACCCAACTAGTCACTACACGCGGCACAGCACACCGGAAACACCAGACAGATAGAACAAGTATATAATATAGGATCTAGAATATATATATATACAAGGTCCCAATCCGACTAGAGTTAGAGAGTACAACAAAATACAACAAAGCTACTCTACTCGGTAACTAAAACAACAAAAAGATCCAAATCAGATCAGCTTCGTCTGTCAGCTACAGACTCACCATCAGCCACCAACCTATCCCTGCTCTGCTCTCATACATAGTATGATCATTGCAGTCCAAACATCATGGAGACAACAAAGGGTAAGCTAGTGTAAAGAAATCAACATACATATATAAATATGTGAATAGAAAACATCTACAACTATCAGCACATCCGCACAGCTTATATTACACCACAGCAATTCAGCAATATCAGCACCGCTCAGCGGCTATAACAGCACCATAATAGTGGCTAACAACAGCACCGACATAGTGACTATAACACCACCACAATAGTGGCTATAACAGCACCACAATAGTGGCTATAACAGCACCGACATAGCGGCTAAAACAGCACCACCATAGTGGCCATACACAACATACAACTAAACGGCTCACAACACAACACATCAATATATAGCACAGCACAGCAAATCAGCAGACAACACAGCTAAGTAGTATTCAACACAACCTACTACTCACAACTCAGCTCATCATTCTAGAGCACAACACTATCATGTAATACAACATTTAAAATCATCAATAACAGCCCAGTTCAGCACAGCTATATTCATCTATTTCAGCTTAACAACAATTTTCAGCTTAACTCAGCATTAAACATCATCTATCTAAGATTTCAGCAAGGTTTAACAGCTATTGATATATAAATCATCATCATCATACGCGCCCGACGCATTCATGGTCGCGGCCGGCGTGGCACAACCAGAGAGCACCAGGGGCCAGCGCGCCCGACGCAAGGGTAATCGCGCCTGGCGTGACCCAGCCAGAGAGCTCAAGGCTCTCACGCGCCTGGCGCAATATTAATTGCGCCCAGCGCAAGCCCAGGCAGAGACTCTAAGGAGTCTCACGCGCTCGGCGTGGCCTAACCCGCGTCTAGCGTGGGGAAGGCAAAGACCTAACAAGGTCTCGCGTCCGGCGCAATTCGCATTGCGCCCAACGCCCTCTTGGCAGAGACTCCAAAGGAGCCTCCACGCCCAGCGAGTCCAAACGCGTGCCTAGCGTGGCACCAGAACACCCAAAGTATGTCACCATTGATATCGCGTCCGGCGCAGCTCAAGTCACGCCCGACGTGGGCCAACCAGAGACTCCCATTTGCAAGCTCGCCCGGCGCACACAGCTTTGCGCCCGGCGGGCTTGCCTAAATAGAGTCCCCTGGTGGTCACGCGCTCGGCGCGAAGAACAGCGCCCAGCGCGAAACTCAGCAGCAACTTCCCCAAGTTCGAAAATTGCCCAAATCCTGCAAAACTTAACAGAAAACCAGCATACAATCCAGCCAAAAGTTCCCATTTTCATCAAAGATCAATAAAAACGCTACATTTTCCACATGCAACCACAAAACAAGAATTTCTCAAAAATTTCTCAAAAATTTCCTCAAAGACCCAAAAACCCCGAAACCCTTAATTTCATCATTCTCAGCCAGAAATCCTCAAACATCAACAGCTAATGAGCTCCTAGAACTCCATTACATCCAAAAACGGCGAAAAACCTAGCTTCCCTTACCTCGGTGCGAAGATCCGAGTGTCGGGAAGAAACCAAAGAGAAATACGAAGGGAGCTTGAACACGAGAAAGGAGAAGAGAGAATTCCAACACCAGCTAGCAACCCACTTCACTCAGCTCCACCACCTAGTAACAGCCAAAAGGAAGGTCCAAGTGAAAAGAGTGAAGATTGAGAATGAGACAAGAGAGGAATGAGTGAAAGTGATGAAGGTTGGGGAAGAAAAGGGAAAACGGAGGTGGGGTCTCACATTTGACATTTTAGTTTAAAAAAATTGTTTCACTTTAATTGTAATCTTATAAGATCACAAAAGTATTAAATATTTTTTTTATATCTTCAATTATTTGTCATAGAAAGAGAAAATAAAAAAAAAATATGAGAGAAAATATATGAGTGTAATTGAGTTGAGTGAAGTCGAGTTTTTGGAACTTGGATTTGCCTTGTAAAAAAATTTGATTACAAAGTTTAACTCATTTATTTAATTAAATCTAATAGAATGCTTGAACTTGACTTGTTTAAAAGAATTAAACTTGAGTGTAAGTTATTTAACTCATTTTTTACTTAATTATTTTTTTTATGATTTTTTTCTTAAAATAATTTTTAACTTTATAAATATAACATTTAATAACTATTTTAATAATAATAATAATAATATGATGATGATGATAATAATAATGGATAATTATATCTTATAGAAAAATGTGTTTATTATGTGATAGGTGAAATTAAATTATTTTAAACTAGTACATTTTCATAATTTAGTAAATAAAAATAGTACTTATTAACTATTACAAGAAACAAACTTTAAAATTAATTTAAGATTTTTTAAGAGACATTAACATTTGTTTTTATTTTGAAAAGACAAAATTAATTAAATATACTAGAATATCAAATTTGTCACAAGATGTGTCAAAATTTAGAGATAATGATGATGATAATAATAATGATATAATTTTAATAGTGTTAATGATAACAACAAGATATAATCAATATGATGGTGGTGGTTTGTAGTATTTTTTTTTAATCTTATAATTTAAACCTTTAAATTTAGTCTAATGGTTAAAATAAATCATTTTCACTCTCATGTAAACTTTTAGTAGACTCTTTTAAAGTAAAGAATGTACTTTAGAGGATAAAGTGTATTTACAATTATTGATTATATAATTAATAATTAAGATTTGTGATAAAATTAAATTTTTATAAAATGAAATATAAAATCAATTATAATATTAATTATTAATTTTTAATAAATGATTTTAATTACACTTTATTTTCTAAGATGTAACTCTCTTACTTTAGATATTATAATTAAAGTGACAAGCTAGATCCAAAATTATTTAATGTAAAATTAATTGCACTTTGGAGGGGATAGACCCAAAATTTTATTAAGGAGAATTTGATTTTGCTCGAGTAAAAATTACCAAAAGAAAATTAATATTTTTAATAACTTTTTTTTTCATATATACAATTGGAAATTAAATCATGATTAATATATGTAAATGTTTAAATATTCATTTATTTTTTATATTTTTATAAACTTTACCTTTTAATTCTCATAATTAAAAACTTTTTGTTTACTATATATATATATATATAATATATTCATTTTAATCCTCGTCTTTTACTTATTATGAGGACTTAAAAAAATTATAAAATTATAGAGAATTAAATGAAACAAAAAATGGTATGTAGAAGATCTAAAACAGAATGTGTTTTAAACTACATAGACTAAATGTAAGGTTCATAAAATTTATATAGGAATCAAATAAATATTTAAACAATATTTAAATTTATCATCATACTTCTTATTGATAAATAAATATATATATATATATATATATATAAATGATATAGTTATTTTACATGTTTAATTCTTACTGAGAAAAAAATAATGATGTATTTATATATTTTCGTCTTTCAGCCATCTCTGCCACCAGGGATGTATATTCACGTCACAACATTAAAAAAAAAAAAAAAACATGATTAAGTTAGGTGAAATATTAGTTTGTTTAATCAAGAGATTTGATGATTTGGCTTATAAAATTCAGTGAGTTGAACAAGTTGATCAACGGAATTGCAATTCTGTGTATGTTTGAAACCTATTTTTCAATGCAATTTTTTCTTCTCTCCACGTAAAAATATATAATTTACGTGAAAGTTACTAATTATTATTATTATTATTATTATTATTATTATTATTATTATTATTATTATACTTATTATACTTTCAATTAACATAAATTAAATTGATTTAGATAATCCCAAGCGTGTAATTCAGCGGTAGGGGTTGATCTACGCTTAAATAAGGTCAGGGGTTCAAATTTTGCCTTGTATATGCAGCCGGTACCTCCAACATAGCGAGAGAACAAGAAAATTAATCACTGCTATAGATACTCTAGAGATGAAAAAAAAAATTGATTTAGACGCATAAGCAAATGTACTTTCGATCCATATATGTGCATAAAATTAAAAATAATTTAAATAAAGTAACAAATTATATATGGAAGGAATATTTCCACCATTTTTAATAAATTCATCGTTTTTTTGTTTGTTTGTAATTTTCCGCTAAAATACCCTTCCCTGGAAACATGTTTCCTCGTGCAAAACATAAAATAAAAAAATGTTTTCATTTTATTTCAGGGTGTGTGGGTTTTACAAAGCACAACATGAACATGGTTTTATTGTGTATTTTAACTTCTCCACAAACTCACCGGGTTATTGGAATCATAATAATAAATTGTGAATCATAACACGAAATAAACATATCATAACATAAAATAAAACAGAGAATTTTTTTAAACAAATCTTGCTATAGAGTTTCTTTTTATGGTTTAGTTAAGCTGGTATTGTTCTAGTTATACAAGTTATACAAAAGTTTTGATGGTTGCAAGTTCGTCATGATTTACATGAAAGAGAGGAATCAGGGTAGTTTAGAATTTAGATTTTAACATTTTTTTTTTAAAAGTACGTATGTGTGGTATGGGGAGTGGTTTGAAGAAGAGTGGGAATAAGATGGCCCAATTACATAAGACTAGCCCAAATAATTCACACGCCAACCCAGAAGCTAAACATTATTTTGTAATATTTTTTTATTATAAATATACGATACAGTTCGTGAACCAATTTGTTAAATTGCAAGTTTATACGAACTTATATGGGGTTTCTATATAAATACAAGTACGTTTAAATATGAAATTAAAAGAGTTGCTTATATCTTTTTGTTAATATAAATTTACTAGTATTTTCAAAGTTAGATATTTATTATATAGTTAAAGTTTATAATAAATTATATATACCGATATAGTAAATCATATTTAAAATGTGTATAAATAAATTTTTTAAACATATAAAATATTTTTTTTTACCGCAACGTATAAATTATATTTTTAATTTATGATAAATAATTTATATTGTAGGATAATATTATATTTTATTTATTATTAATTTATTTTAAAAAATTTATTTAAATTTATAAATAATTATAATAAATAAAAACTAAATTAAATAAGAAGTTAAAAAATATCTACAAACTCTTTCGTCAAAGAAAAATTTATAAAAATAAATGTTTTTGTACAAGATAAAAATTTGTATTTTAATATATATGAGTTGATTTATATTCAAGTGATCAAAACACAGGAAATCTTAACTCTTCGATGTATTAAATACATTATTTTTGGTTTTTGTTAACTTTTTATTCTTTAATAATAATTTCTAATGAAAAAGTAATGATTTTTTTGCTAAATAAGAACATATTAGAAGGGAGAGTCACACATGACTCCAATAACATACTAAAACAGTTGATAGAAATCCAGTCAGATAATTACTTAATGCCATAAGAATATGCGCACACAATATTTGTGGGCATGAGAATTTCTCCCAAAAGAGGGGCAAAAAGAAACTTAAAGAGCACAAGTACGTCATAAATTCTAACTCTGCCTAAGCAGATAAGGTTGTATTATTTCCTTTGCACCACAAAAAATTGTAAAATTTGAATTTTTTAAAGCTGAGAAAAGTTGCTTGAGAACAAATCATTATACTTTAAACTATAAAGTGAGAATGCACTTGGGATCCAAAATATTCTATTCTAAAGTCTGAATCTACATGAAATACAATCGAATATTTAATTTTCATTTCTGTATATAAATTCATAAATTGGTCAATAAAATGACGTGGACAGCTCGATTATTGGACCATATGCAATTACCAGTACGACAAGTGTTTGGAATGTGGTTTTCTAGTTGCCAATTATAACCACAACTTGATTTTTCAATTCTATTTATTTTGGTCACATCCCTTTCATGCATGTTGAACCAGAAAGTGTACCAATGCCGAAGGATAAGGCCCTCGCCCCCATCCCCAACCCAATAATCTTCTTTTTACTCTTTCAAGTTTGAACCCACGTTGTGAATGAGAAGCACAAGTTTCATATCATTCTTCCTCTCTACTCTAGCAAAAGATAATTTTACAAACTGAAAAATGACCTTATAGTGAATTGCATGTTAGGTTCACTGCAATCAAATTAAGGGTAGTAGGACTTCGGAGTCACTATCCTCACGAGCCACGGTCCCTCTTCACTATGTGAATGATTGATGATAGTTTGCATAATTCCATATAATTCTCCAATCAGCAATTGCAGTAACAGGCTCATTATTTGGTTCTGGCCCAGTACTTACTTGAATGTTCTACGATCTATATATCATTTTCATAATTAAGAACTAGAAGGGGACCATTTTTGGTTTGAATTAGGCCAAATTCCAAACTCTAAAATATCAAATTCGGACTTTAAAGTAACTGGGTCGTTAAGTCCGTTATTGCCATCACATGCACATAACCATATTAGAGTTCACCGCGGGGGTTGAAACTCGGAACCCTTTTGCTTCAATTCTGATTGCTTGAGTTCTAGGTAAATAATCTTTTGGCTTTTAATTGTTATCTGTTAGCTTAATTTGATTCTTCTATTACTCATAATCGCATATTTAATTCGAGGGTTATGAGTGAATCCTCCGCTGAAACCTTCAACCTTGTTCTGAATTATGTTCCTTTTGGATTGGAAACTAATAGAATAGGATTTCGTTCAAATAACAATCACAATCATCATGCATGCTTCATAGGTCTGTGTTTGACCGCTGTTCGAGAATTGACCTTTGTTATGAGTTATTAGAAAAGATTAAGGTAGTTGGTAGTTGACTAGTTACGATTTTGGTTTCACTTTTCATGGGAGAACTCGGTTTTCGCGTGGAAGGTGTCATGGGAAACTCGTGGTTTTTGACCTGCTTTGGTGGCAGCTGAACATGTTTTTTTTCCTTCTTATATTCTGAGGAATCAGTTTTGAATTCCTTGCCTTAAAGGGATAGAGAATAGAGAGTGATACTGATATTGTTTCTTGCCTCTTGAATTCATTTTGTCAGTGTTGAGTTTGGACATGAATAATTCTGGGGCTGGAAGTGATTATGTAGGAGCGGTTGAAGTTACTAAGGATAAGAATGGAATAGGCCAAGTGGTTCTTCGGAACCATCGAGGTGCTTCTGCAAGGGTCAGATTCTTTTAACTCTCACTAATCGTTTTTAAGTTGTAAAATTGTAATATTACTCAAATTATTATATGTTTCGAAATCATATACTTACCATTAATTTCCACATGACATGTACCTAGTCTTTTTCCCTTGTCAATGAAAATTGACTGGATTATAATAGTTTTTTTTACTGTGAAATAACTCTATTTTGGTAAATTGATGTTAGTGGGTGGAACGTATAGGTTAGCTTGCAGGGAGGGCAGGTTCTTTCATGGAAATGGGAACGTGGCCAGGAGCTTTTATTCACTAGCAGTAAGGTAAACTTGATCTTTTTTTATTTTTTATTTTTTATTTTTTTATACTGTTTTTCCCCCTTGAAAATAGTTATTATTTAATTGTTTTTGACTTGAGTTTGTAAATTTTCTCTGTATTTATACGCGGTATTTCTTTCTCAGGCAATCATTAATCCTCTCAAACCATTACGAGGAGGAATTGCAATCTGTTTCCCTCAGGTATAATTTGGATGTCAGATAAAACTATCTACACTGAATTGCATAGATGTATTCACAGCACAAGAAAAAAGTACAGAAGAATTACATACATATAGATAGATAGATAACAAGGGGTCCATAACTTCTTGTAATTTTATTTTTCCAGTTTAGAAGCCGTGGATCATTAGAGCATCATGGGTTTGCCAGGAACAAAATGTGGGTAATTGATCAAGATCCTCCACCATTTCCCAGTGGTTCCAGTGAAAAAACCTATATTGACCTGCTGCTCAAACCATCAGAAGATGATCTGAAGATATGGCCACATAGGTCCGGAATTAAGTATATTAAAAACATGTTTACTTCAGACCGGCGTTTTTTATATCACTCGAATTTAAAGATAAGAAAAAGTTGGATATAAATTCGGAGGAAATATATAACTAAGATACGACTTGAAGATCCCTTCATTTTCAAGTCCATAACTCTAGTGTGTACAACATTTTGCATCACAAGAACAAATAAATAAATTGTTGCCATGAGTGCAGAGACCCCAACATGTGGGGGGCCTCAGTTGCTGACATAGAGAATTTTCATTTTTTTCATGCTATTTTCACATCTCACCTAAATTATCGGTTGAATCTCTCAGAATATTTGAGACACTGATCTAAATTATTCTGTCCAGCTTCGAACTTCGGTTAAGGGTGACTTTGGCAGAAGATGGCTATTTAACTATGATTTCTCGCGTCAGGAATGTGAATAGCAAGCCTTTCAGTTTCTCCTTTGCTTATCATACATATTTCTCCCTCTCTGATATCAGGTCTGTAATGCGACTATATGACAACTAAATTTTGACATCAAGGATTAGAATGTCCAAAAAAATGGAGTTAACTTTTCATAAATTCGTCATTATGGTAATTAATTTTCTAAGGGTTGTAACTTGCAATCTTTGAATAAGCACATTAATCTCTGGTGACTATTGGCAGTGAAGTGAGGGTGGAAGGATTAGAAACTCTTGATTATTTAGACAACCTATACAACCAAGAGCGCTTCACAGAGCAAGGAGATGCTTTGACATTTGAATCTGAGGTGAGACAATTGATCATGGGATGTTTCATTTTTTTTCCCCCTAAAGTCTCTATATTCCTTTAGTATACCCTTTTTTAATATCAAGTTCAGTGACTCATAGCTAAGTATTTGGCAAGGATTAAGATTTGATGAGGTTGCTAAAATCTTATTGTCCCCGTGTGTGTTTTTTAGGTGGATCGAGTGTATGTTGATTGTTGTAGCAATGTGGTAGCTGTTCTAGACCATGAAAAGAAGCGAACAATTGTGATACGAAAAGAAGGGCTTCCTGATGTTGGTATGGTCCCTTGCACTAGCAAATGAAATGCTTAATGATGTTGGTAGGTTAGTGTCATTTTGGTACTCAATGTAACAGCTAAAACTAACCCTATCCACACCAACTTTGGTGTTGCATAGTTGTTTGGAATCCGTGGGAGAAAAAGTCCAAGACGATAGTGGATTTAGGGGATGAAGAGTACAAGCAGATGCTATGCGTTGATGGTGCAGCAATTGAGAAACCAATCACGTTGAAGCCAGGTGAAGAATGGACTGGCCTATTGGACCTCTCTGTGGTCCCTTCCACTTAATATGAAATGACTTGGCTATGTTTGTGGAGATGCTAATAAAGTAGGATCTTATTATATGTTTTTTTGTTATCAAAGTTGAGATTTTATTTTGACAATGCAAAAGATATCCATGGCATGTGCTGAAGCTGTCTAATAAACTACCCCAAACATACCATCTAGCATTCTTTTTGGCAAGTGGTGTGCAAATTCTGAAGCGTACAAGTGATGTATCATTGTAAATAAAAAGGACATGTCATAAAAAGCTTGTTGACTACACATAGAATACAGATTCAAGTTCAGGCCCTTTTCTCATAAATAGATAAGATAGCCATGTTGTTAATTTGTTATGGTGAACTACAAAATGAAAAACCTCCATTTTGATAAAATGAAAAGAGAGATAAGAAGAGAAAAAAGTGTTAAATGTCATAAATTGTGTAACGGAAAAGAAAAACAAACATAAAGTAAAATAAAAAAAATGAAGAGAAAATAAAAGTATATTTATAATAAAGTGGGTGAATTTTAAGCTTGGGGTTAATGAAAATGCTAATTTCTTTGAGAATATTGTTTTTGAACAATGGGAACTTTTTTTTTTTTTTTTTTAATGATATCTGGGCACAAATTTTTGATGTAATGAAATTGAAACGGTATTACGGAAAATGAATTTAAAAAAATAAAAAAATGGATTGGGCTTCTAATGTAAACTTGTATAAAAGGACAGCACCGTTTTGCCAGACTAGAAAACACTGTCTTCTTTAACATTTTATTTCAAATGGTCATGAATCCTGAGGATCTCCGTAATATGATACAAGTTATTAATTGAAGTCAGCATAAAATTTACTTAATAAAAAAAAATTATCAAATAAATATGATAGTATGTTTGTAGGGATGTGTTCTGTGACCTCTGTCTAGTTCGGCAACGCTATATAAGGGCTTTTGTTGGGCAATTTGAACGGAATCAGACTCTTCTGAAAGAAAAGAGAGAACTTAAAAAGTTCCTCAAAAGAAAAGGTTAAAATTAGGCAATGTTTAAAATGTTTTCATGCGCTGTGGGATACAAATTTGTAAGTTCTTCATGCATTATATATATCAGGTACTTTTAAATTCAGAACGATTTTATAAACAAAATAATATTTTTATTATAAATACTAAATATTTTATTATATTTTTTAAAAACTAAATTAAAGATATAAGACATTTTAAATTAATTAAAAATTATGAGTTTTAAGATTTTATAGTATCAATGATTGTATCCTTCTCGAGTGATTCTGAACACATTTCAGATCAATTTCAATAAATACTTTTTTTTTTAAACATTGTTGAAACTACTTCTATAACTTATGCTTAGATTGTATCTTTTTATACAAATTCTTATCGTACGTAGCTTTTGGTGATTTTACACTTTGATGTTCTCATCAAATTTTATATTTTGAAAAAACTTATTATCACATTTAACTTCTAACATTGTTACACTTTGATATTTTGAAAGGTTGTATATATAAAAGTTTGTATGTTTTTATGTTTATAGATGTTGTTTATTATATTATATTTTGCTATTACAAGGAATGAATTTCATTTTTTTTTATATATAAATATGATCTACTCAATATCTCAAAATGGATAATCACTATACTTGTAAAACATGATTTTTGTCAATAAAATATTATTTTAATATATATGAGAATAAAACTTAAAGAGTATCAAATAGTAGTAAATTTCACTTTATGTGTGCTTCTTGACATTTAGTTACGGTAATCTTAATTTTCAACTAAATTTACTACTTTTTGCTTATTTTAAGTCTAAAAATTAATCTCTCTTCAATTTTGAACCTAATTAAATTATTTTAACTAAATTTTGATATTTTAAATATTATTTTAATTTATTAATTATGAGTTTTGTCCATATTTACATATTTTTCGGTCTAGGTTCCATAACTAGTCCAATTTTTTTTTTTTTTATAAAAATAGGAAAGATTACAAAGATGGTTGCAATGAGGATTGAACCTAAGTCCTCATGCTTCTAACTACCCCAAGTCCCCAACCCTTCCCCACCTAACTACTAGGCTAAATAACTAGTCCAAATTAGTTCTTTTTTAATCTAAACTTTTCTCCGAACCTTATTAATTCATCAATAATGACTTTTAATTGCTTTTATTGAATTTTAAATAATGCTTAACAATGGTACATATTACCTACTACTTTGTTAAAATACAATTTTAAAAAATCTTTTAATGAGAACTTAACATAACTTTACTAGAAGTTTGTTTAATTAGAGTCTTTAATATATCCACCATATCCACCATATTAACTTTTAAACTTGAAAATTTATGAACATAATATGATCTATCCAGATTAAACATGTTTTGTCGTTCATGACCAAGATAATATCTTTAGTATTGAAAGTTCATGAAAACATTAAAACTTTAGGATTTTCATTCCAAACAATCAAGAGACAATATCAACTTAAAAGCTCATCAAAATGTATTATATAAACGCATTTATACAGTCAATAAACCAACCAAACATACATTATATAATATGTAGTAGCATTTTTATACGGATCATGGATTGGAAACATAAAATTTAAGCTTTTTTTTTATTATTATAAATAATAACGCATCTTTTTCATCCAAAACCACTATACAAGGATATAAAATTTTCACATAAAGTTCCCCCAAAATATTGCTCATCACAACAATAAAGAGTACAGGAGTCTCTAAGGACTTGTGTCATGGAATCCCACACTAAGAGTGGTAAAACAAGTCCACTCATTGTTAATCCATAAAAGAAAATAGGTTAACTTGTTTTTTTTACTGATATGCCAGTGAATCAACCTGCTCAGCAATTTAATATATATATATATATATAATACTTATATTTATATGTAATATTTATTGAAAAAATAAATACATTTTGAGAAAACTCTCATAATTGGCGCAAAGGATTAATCAGAGAAGGACATGACTTTAAATATGATAAAGTCTTGAAAAAATGATTAGCCTCGTAATTGATCTAAAGGGTCTAAACTTATTGAAATCTCCTTGGAGAGTCAAAAGCACGAATTACAATAATAAAAGAAAAGAAAAACCAAAATTGAAAATTTTCCAGAGAGTGTAAAGTCCACCAACCTAAAAAAAATATAGGAAAATGAGTAGATGTCCTACCAATATCCTAGTGTCCATAAAGCAGGATTATTCCCCCATCAGACTTCAATATTCCCCACCCAGTTGACTCGTCAAACAATAAACTAATGATGAAATGAAACACTTGCATATGATAAGTCATCGCTGTATGTCTTCCCCACACCACACCACAGATAATTTCTGGCTCTCCTTTAACCAAACTAACTTACAAACAGTACAGTCTCAGCCACTGCAAACAGAATTCAACACCAAATTATTAAAGGCGATGAGTAAACTATACATGCAATATTAGAGGTCGTAAATATGGCACTACTACGATGGCAACTTTGTAGTAAATGTGGCGACCCTCTTACAATGACGTTTAACAAAATATATTCTTTCTTTTAGAAATTCACAAACAATAATTGAATATTCCAATGGTTCCTAATTAAACAAGCATGAAAGAAAATGATTGTTACACATTAAAATAAAGTTATGAAACATAATTTGTTAATAATCATGTGAGAGACACCAGATCTTTCAGGAACTGCTTGATCCAAAATTAAATTTCCATCTAAACTCGAAGCCCAAAAAAATAAAAAATAAATTGTGACAGGACTGCATTTTCCTCTGTACCGTCTACCAAACTAAACTTTATTCCTTGTATTCGCTTTTGCATAACAAAATGAGGAATTGATCTGCATTCCCTCCCGACCAACCGTTTTTATGGACAATGACCTGTGTATTAAGGCTTTGTTATGGTAGCCATCGATGAGGACAGAGGTAGTTTAGACTTTAACGTTGGCTGTTGGAGGAAAAAGACAACCATAATTTGGCCAATCTTTCTTCTTATCTTGTTTCTTTGTTTCGTTTTCTTAAATCACAATGCACAAATCAGATTGCCGTACTTGATCATTCACGGGGAAGGATTCACAGTGGAATACTGTTAATGTTATCTATACCAATGTCCTATATATATATATATATATTTTTTAATCTAATAACAAATATTCTTTATAAAAAAAACAATTCATTTTAAATTGTATAAGACTATTATAAGTATAAAATATTTCATTATATTATTTAACATCATTGTATATATACAATTTGAACTCATATCACTTGCTCGTTAAGTTAATTCACATAATTTGTATTATAAATTTAGAAAAGTTGATTCAAGTTATATGTTACATTAACTTGAATATAATTAAATTAATATATATATATATACATTATTATTATATTTTAATTTTTTAGTAATTTTTTTTATATTTGTTAAAATGTTATTATATATTGAATAAATTATTTTATAACATTTTTAATTTTTTTATTATAAATAGAGTAATATTTTTTATTTTAATATTATTTTTTATATTATTTTTAAAATCAAAGTCTCATATCAAGTAAAAATAAATAAATTACATAGGTTATTTTATGACATTTTATTGAAAAATGTTACTATAAATAAATAACATTCTTTATAGTAACTTTTTTTTTTTATCTCAATATTATTCTTTTTAATTGATTATAAAATCAAAGTACCACATCGACTAAAAAAAATATATTTTTCTCATTTTTAATTATTACTTATAATTAAAGTCTCATATCAAATAAATAAATGACTCATAAAAAATATATAATCATATAGTTATATTTTAGATAAATAAATTTTGATATTTGATATATAATTAATGATAATAAATTAACAATATTTATACACAATTAGATAATATTTTTAAATATTATTAAATATTGTATATATATAACTTAAAAAGTATTTATTTACATATATTTTATTTTAAAATGAACAAAATCATTAAATCAAATAGGTTTAGTATTTTTGGGCCTAATTTATTAGAGCACTTTGCAATGCAGGTACCAAATAGAAATCTATTGTATAAACATCGGTTCCTATTGAATTAATTTAATTGTTAAAGGACCTTCTTATTTATAATCAAGTGTTTGTATAAACATCGAATCCTAAACTCTAAACCTTACACCGATAATAGATTCAACAATTGTAAAAAAGAGAACGGACATACATAACAATTGATTTTATAATAAAAATAATTATAAATAAATAAAAAATGGGAGCATGAAAGTTGCATTGATTGAATTTTTACTATTAGAAGGATTAAATAATTGAAAACAAAAGCAGTTGTGAACAAATTAATTATTTTT